AAAGTTCGTGAATGCTGCCGAAAAGGGGGAAGGATTGACAATTCATTTTGTACCACAAGCGTATGCATATGCATCATCACAACCGAGAGCTCCACGACCAAGAGGAGGACCATTGGTGGAACTTGTTCGACCGTCAGCAACACCTAGAAGCCGAGGGAGCATGATAGATTATCTTAGAGGTACTTGCCCTAGCTCAAGCTCAAGCCCTCATGATGTGTTGCCACCCACGCCAAATGCACCAATGCCGAAGCCTATTGCTACAAGGATGCAAAAATTGCAAGAGCTTCAAACCGAGTTCGGACATCGGAGTGAACAAATGAGCGATGGTCGTACATTCGATGAGTGCATCTTTTGGCACAAAGCAGGCGTATTGAAAGGAGACAATATAAGAGAAGCTTATGGCAACTACATCATTGGACAAGTGACTGCCCCGTACCAAAACAAGAGCTACGACAATGACTTCAAGAAGCTACGGGCGTACATCAATGAAAAATTAAGGGGGAGGTAAAAATTGTTTGACACATCTCATAATTTTTTGGTGTATAAGTTATTTGGCTAGCACATTATGATATTTTGGTACGATATTGCTAAGCTAAAATGGGTTAAATATGCATGACAAAATTTGGTACCATACTTATATAGTGTGTCATAGCTATTTTATTTTATTTATGTTTAGTATGTTATAAGATTTTAATTTGGACCTAGAATTAATTTGTAACACGTATAAAATGAGAATATAAAATTTAGGGGGAAGAAAAATTCAAGCTAAAAAGAAAAATGCAAACCCCACGATCAAAGTCTCATGTATACGTTTAGGATTGTCCAATGTTAAAATCTCTAAGTCTCAATTTTTTTTAAACCCGTCAATTGGCTAGTCAAAATAAAAGCAATTAAAAAGAAATTATTTTTCAAAATTGACAAAGCCAAAATGACTAGGGTATAAGTTCCGGCATCATCAAAAAGGGGGAAATTGTTAGGAATAAATTGTAAATTTTGATGAGCCGAATGTATTTTTGAAAAATCAAGTAGTCCCCATTTTTGTTCTATTTGAGTCAGTTTGAGTCTAAAGAGTATGGTGCACCCACATCATGCAACCCATGTACAAGTCTGGAAGATCATAATTTATTTGAAGAAGTTAAGCGGGATTATAGCTTAACAAAATTATGATGCAGATAAGTCATTAAGAACCATGCTAGAGGAGTTTGATAATACACGTGTGAGTTATGCCAAATGATCCTTAGTTTGAATCTCAAGTGAAGCATTTTTACCTTGCTTGGGAGACTAGCTAAACCGTATTGGAGACTAGCTGAGAGACTAGCTAACTTGGGAGACTAACCTACTTGGAGACTAACCAAGGTGAATGCACAAGTCTCACAAGAGCCATGCACCAGATGAAGAAACACACCTACCATGGTGGACCAAGCATAAAATCGAAATAGAGCATCTCACCATGAACAACAATGAAGCTTTTACAGAAGGTTCCAGTATATTATTCTACAAGAATCATGAAGGAGAAAATAAATAACTGATATATTTTCATCTGAACATCAACTTTTTACGGTGGAACCGGAGACGCTCGAAGGAGGTTGATTCACGGAGAAATTGTTTCATACTCAAGCAAGAATCAGCAGAAAAATTATCTGATCAACTTGACATGTCAGAGCATTTATGAAGGACAAGAAAAATCAAGCTTGTCGCGCCGAACTTATTCAAATTTTGGAGGCTACAAAATTCAAGACACGGCAACGGGCAAAATATTCAAATCATCTGACAAAAGGAGAAAAGACTTCTACTTAATATTTCAGATCAAGTTGACAATATTATTTGATCAACAACAATTCAAAATGGACGATCGAGATCGAAAGTTGATCAACGGGCAAATAGTTTTCATTGGCTATAAATTGCCCAAGCAAACTTGAAGAAAAACATGAATTCTACAACGAAGAATATCCAATCAATCATCAAATGATATATTGAGCTATACGATAGAATTCAAGTCTGAGTGAGAGAAAAATTTTATCTCTTTGTAATATTCTCTACTGAGTGTAGAAAGAGGGCGGAGCAACTAGAGAGAGTGAAAAAACCCTGGTTGAGTGTAGCTTTGTGCGTAGCACTCGATATAAAGGGCAGAGTAACAAGGGGAGCTTGTGAAAACCCTGTGAGAGCGTAGCTTTGTGCGTAGTTCTCGTGGTGTAGGAGTACAGCTTGGTGCGAAGTACTCGGGAAGGCGGAGTAACAAGAAGAGCTTGCGAAAAACCTTGGTGGAGTGTAGCTTTGTGCGAAGCACTCGGAGAAGTGTCGGTGGACACTTATTCACTATTGTATCTGGGGGATAGAAGAATAGTGAATTTCCTCATTGTAGTGAAAGGAGAAGAGTGGACTAGGAGGATTACACCACCTCTGAACCACTATAAATCTCTCTCTCTCTATTTACTTAATGCTCATATATTTTGTGCATGCTTATTCTAACTACGAACTAACCCAATTACGATTTATCGCATATCTTTATTTGTCTGGGTTTGATAGTTCCCACGTTTGCATGCAAGCCAAATTTTACGTACATCATTCTTGAACCATAATAAGTGTTTCTAACGTGTTGCATGTTTAGAATCTCTCTTTGAGCACCGCACTATTAAGCATAACACTTTTCCGCTATGTATTCTGCTGTGCACTCTAAGTTGTTTATCTTGTTGATGCTTGTTACTTAGAGTTGAAATTACCAAAGTGTTATTTGTCTTGTGTATTTTGAAGAAAGTTTGAAAAGTTAGATAAGTCTATTCACCCCCCCACCCCTCTTGACTTCTCGCCACCCTTTCGGTTCCCAACTTAGTGTAATACCATTCCTATTGTAATCAATCTATACTGTATATAATACTCCCTCCGTCCCATTTTATCTGTCTTACTTTCCTTTTTTGTCTGTCCCAAAATATTGTCTACTTTCCAAAAATAAACATCAATATTTAATTATTTTCCAATTTTGCCCTTTCAGATTTTATCACACTTGGTACCTAATATCAACAGGTGTCCATCCTGTCATCCACTCAATATTTTAATTAGACATAGTCCACAGCTGTCATCCACTATATCAAAACTAGTAAACATTTCATTTTAATGAAACAAGCTGAATCCCATATCTTCACCGCTCTCTTCTTTTGGTTCTTCTTCCTTTTCTTTAGTAGCCGGAGAAGCAGCTGTGGGGTAGCACCATCGGCAGTGGGAGCTGCAACAATGCCGCCACCAGCGCCCACGTTAAGATCATGATAAGATCCTAGAAATTCCTCTTTCTCACCGTGCTTTGCGAAGAGATTGAGCTAGTATGACTCCATGGAAACATTGGCCTCCTTCACTAGTGTAGCAGTCTTCACCATCTCTCAAATAGACGTTGCCATCCCAATCTCCGATCAATTTCATCAAGTTTAAGATTTCTATAACTCCATCTATTTCTTAACACCACTAGTTTTTGTCTTTTTTTTTTCCCTAAATCTTTTTAAGTATTAAGTTCATTTATTTTGGTATAATTACTAGTGTATAAAGAACTAAAAGAAGAATGAAAGATACAGAAGGTATATGGGATTTGTTGGAGAAAGATGAAGAAATGGGTTTGTTGAAGAAAGATGAATAAATGTATAGATGAGAAGAAGAATGACGAAGAAATGCATTGTAGCAAAATTGTCAGTAAGGGCAAAAGAGGAAAGGGAGTGAGCTCTGTTTAACCTTCTTAAAATCCGTGCCAAAAGTAAATCAGACATACATTACGGGACTGAGGGAGTAACAAAATCCTGAAATTTTAACTTCCCGCCCAATTCTTAAAAAATCTCTCTTCCTAATAAAATATATTGATTTCTGCTTTCCCAATCTTACAATAATTCTGCTTTAAAATTATATTCTAATATTATAAAATAATAGTGTAATACAATTCCTATTGTAATCAATCAATCTATACTATATATAATAACAAAATCCTGAAATTTTAACTTCCCGCCCAATTCTTAAAAATCTCTCTTCCTAATAAAATATATTGATTTCTACTTTCCCATTCGTACAATAATTCAGCGTTAAAATTCTATTCTAATACTATAAAATAATAGTGTAATACAGTTCCTATTGTAATCAATCAATCTATACTATATTTAATAACAAAATCCTGAAATTTTAACTTCCCGCCCAATTCTTAAAAAATCTCTCTTCCTAATAAAATAATAGTGATTTCTGCTTTCCCATTCTTACAATAATTGTGCTTTAAAATAATATTCTAATATTATAAAATAATAGTGTAATACCATTCCTATTGTAATCAATCAATCTATATTATATTTAATAACAAAATCCTGAAATTTTAACTTCCCGCCCAATTCTTAAAAAATCTCTCTTTCTAATAAAATATATTGATTTCTGTTTTCCCATTCTTACAATAATTCTGCTTTAAACTTATATTCTAATATTATAAAATAATAGTGTAATACAATTCCTATTGTAATCAATCAATCTATACTATGTATAATAACAAAATCCTGAAATTTTAACTTCCCGCCCAATTCTAAAAAATCTCTCTTCCTAATAAAATATATTGTCTTCTACTTTCCCATTCGTACCATAATTCTGCGTTAAAATTATATTCTAATATTATAAAATAATAGTGTAATACAGTTCCTATTGTAATCAATCAATCTATACTATATATAATAACAAAATCCTGAAATTTTAACTTCCCGCCAAATTCCTAAAAAATCTGTCTTCCAAATAAAATATATTGATTTCTACTTTTCCTTTCGTACAATAATTCTGCGTTAAAATTCTATTCTAATATTATAAAATAACAAAGAGTTGCAATGGGGCAACAATGTAATTCCCCATCTATAATCAGTTATGAAGTGTAATCGTCCTTTTATTCGTATTTAGCTGGAATGTAAACAGCAGCGTTGATAGGTTGCTTCCTATTCAGCTCATCAATGAGACCCTCTGTTCATTCCCTCGCATAGCCTTCATCATCCATCTCTGATATGGTATCAGAGCATGGACGCCACTCCTACGCCGCCGCCGTCTCCGGCACAAACGACGCCACCATCTCCGGCACAAGCGACGTCAACCAAACTACGCAAGCCGACCCTCCAATCTCAGAATCACCGGCTAGCACTGTTCCAGGAACGATTTTGCAGAGGAATCAAGTCAATCAACAGAGAAGTCTCAATGTAGAGGAGTTGGAGAATCCGCTCATCCTAGGCATCAACGACAACCCGTCAGCTGTGCTGGTTAGTCCACCACTGGTAGGGAGTTCCAACTACGGAACTTGGTGCGTTAGCATGCGTATTGCCTTAGAGATTAAAAATAAGTGGAGTTTGATCGATGGAAGCATCACGTCGCTTAGCAGAGAGCATCCGCAGTATTTGGCATGGAGACGCTGCAACCTGTTGGTTTGTTCGTGGCTATTCAAAGCGGTGCACCCTTCGATCGCACAAAGTTTAATGCATCTTGACAAAGGCAGAGAAATTTGGGAGGATCTACGGAGAAGATTCTCGCACTGTGACGCTCAGCGAATCTCCATTCTACAAAATGAGATATACAATATGAAACAAGGTCTAATGTCTGTGAGTGATTATTACACCAAGAGCAGAACATTATGGGAAGAGATGAACACGTTGAGGCCACTTCCCATTTGCAAATGCAATCCAAGGTGTGCGTGTGACTTAGTGGATGAAATCCGAAAAGAAAGAGATGTAGATCAGGTAATCAGATTTTTGCAGGGGCTGAATGATGATTATAATAGTCTGAAATCTAATATTCTCGTTTTGGATCCCCTACCTGAGGTATATAAAGTCTATGTTATGGCAGAGAAACTGGAAAGACAAATCAGTCTGACCATCTTAAATTTAGGGAATCTGGATCCTAATCTATCTAATGCAGTGCAAAGCAATGAAAGTTTCGCAGGTGAAGGAGCTGTTACAGCAGCTCTGAATGCTTACAATGGCAGAAGAAATAATGTAGCAAGGCCAAAATGCACCTTCTGTGGCATGGTGGGTCACACTGTGGACAAATGCTATAAAAAACATGGTTACCCCCCGGGGTGGGTACCTGGCTATAAATCAAAAGGGAAACAAGTTAATGCAGCAATTGCCAATGACGTTGGAGACTTAGGCATCACAACAGATCAACTGTAGAAGATAGCTTCTATCCTCCAGATGCAGAAAGGACAAACATCATCAATTCCTAACTCCAGTACTAGTGCAGCGGTCTCACTAGTAGCAAATTTTGATGAAGTTCAACCCACTGACAAAGGTATAACTCATGTTAATTCCCTAGCCTTATGTCCATCCACTTGGATTATTGATTCGGGAGCTACAAACCACATTGTATGCTCCCTTGACTCCCTTGTTAATCATCACAAAGCCAGTGGAGCTACTGTGAACTTACCTACTGGCCAGCATGTTAATGTTGAAAAAATAGGAGATGCTAAGCTGAGCAACAATTTGTGCTTAAGGGACGCTTTGCATATTCCCACATTCAAATTCAACATCATCTCCGTGAGTAAATTAATCCAAGACTCTTCCTATAAACTGACATTTGTGGTTGGACAGTGTTTGATTCAGAAGGATGGTATGATGGCTGGTATAGCTAGACATGAAGGGGGATTATACGTGCTTCAAGAGTCAGCAGAAATATCAGAAAAGAAATTTGTTATGCAGTGTAATAGTGCAGAGATTTGGCACCAAAGATTGGGGCACTTCCCAATTAATAAGTTGCACTTGTTTTCTAATATTACTTTAGATAAAAACAAAGTCTTGTTTTGTGATGTGTGTCATTTGGCTAAACAGAAGCGTTCTCCGTTCCCTTTGAGTATTAGCACTTATCATGCATGCTTTGATCTTATCCACGTTGATATTTGGGGACCTTTCCCAGTCTGTTCTCTTGAAGGACAGCGATATTTTCTCACCATTGTGGATGATTATTCAAGGTTTACCTGGTTGCATTTAATGAAAACCAAGTCCGAGACAAGGCGATTCATTCGTAAGTTTCATGCTTATGTTCTTACACAGTTTGGTGTTATGATCAGGGTGATTCGCAGCGACAACGGACATGAATTTAACATGGAAGAATTTTTTTCAGAAAAGGGCATTGTCCACCAACGATCGTGTGTTAACACACCACAACAAAATGCGATAGTGGAGCGAAAACACCAACATATACTTAATGTTGCTAGATCCCTCAAGTTTCAAGCTAATCTCCCATTGCAGTTTTGGGGGCATTGCGTTATGCACGCCACATTCCTTATAAATAGGATGCCGTCTCCAGTAATTAAATGGACCAGTCCATATCACAAATTATACAAGAAGGCGCCAAACGTGGAATATCTCAAGGTGTTTGGTTGCCTCTGCTTCGCTGCTACCTTGCCTCTAAATAGACACAAAATGGCCACGAGAGGAAAGAAATGTGTTTTTATTGGCATACCAGCCGGTACGAAGGGCTATTTGCTATATGACCTCAAGGATGGCTCAATTTTTATCTCTAGAGATGTGATATTCTATGAGAAACAATTTCCCATGTCTAAGCAAGAAGTAATGCAACAAGCACAGAGGTCACAATCTGAGCCCTCACTACCTGTGATCCCTATAACCACCAATATGGAATTTGAACCAGATCATCAAAATGTTCCTAGTCCCAGCCAGTCACCCTTTGACATGCAATCTTCAACTACTAATAATCAACAATCTCAGATCCATATAGATGAAGAACAGGACCAACCACAAGAAGCTATGCATGAAATTCAGACTGACATAATGTCCCTTGCCCAGCCTAGAAGATCTAATAGAATTCGACATGCCCCAACCAGATTACAGGACTATCACTGTGATGCAATTATGGGTGGAAATACATCTCCTCATTGCTTATCCAAAGTCATCTCATATGAAAAACTTGCACAGTCACACATGATGTTCTCAATGGGTGTTACTTCTGTTGATGAGCCAAAAACATACAATCAAGCTGTGCAGCAAGATTGTTGGAAAGAGGCAATGGCAGCCGAGATCAAAGCTTTACAAGACAACAACACATGGAAAGTCGTTGATTTACCACCCGGGAAAATACCTATTGGATGCAAATGGGTGTACAAGGTAAAGCGGATGGATCCATAGAACGGTACAAAGCCAGGTTGGTTGCCAAAGGTTTCACCCAACAACTAGGAATTGATTATATTGAAACCTTTTCACCGGTGGCAAGGCTCACTACTATTCGAATCTTCCTAGCCATGGCTGCATATCGTGGATGGCACATACACCAACTTGATATTAACAACGCTTTTTTACATGGCAGCCTAAATGAAGAAGTTTATATGACCATCCCACTTGGTTTTCAAGCTGAGAAACCGAGACAAGTTTGCAGACTCCTTCGCTCAATGTACGGTTTGAAACAAGCTAGCCGACAGTGGAATACACGATTGAGTGATGCCTTAATGAGCAAAGGGTTTGAACAGTCAAAATCGGATCCATCATTGTTCATTAAAGGTTAGGGTACGCAGTTTATTGCCACATTAATATATGTTGATGACATTCTGGTAACAAGTTCTAATCTGGCTTTGATTCAAGAACTTAAGTGCTTTCTTGACACTACTTTTAAAATCAAGGATCTAGGAAGCTTGGGGTATTTCTTAGGCATTGAAGCTCATATCAGTAATGATGGGTTAAACTTGTATCAAAGAAAGTATGCTCTAGACATATTGAATGAAGAAGGATTCCTTTCTTGTAAGCCAGCGAGCACTCCCATGGTTCCTGGCCATCAATTGCAGAAAGAGGGAGGTACTTTGCTTCAGGACTCCAGCAGCTATAGACGACTGGTTGGGCGTCTCCTATATCTCACCGCTACAAGGCCGGATATCACATATGCGGTACAACAACTGAGTCAATTCGTGGATACACCCACAAATGAGCACCTAGTCGCAGCACACCGTGTTCTAAGATACATAAAGAAAGCTCCCGGTCAAGGGATATTCTACCCCAGGAATGGCGCAATGCAGTTGAACGTATTCTCCGATTCTGATTGGGCATCATGTCCGGAGACACGTAGATCAGTGACTGGCTTCTGCATTTTTCTTGGTACTGCTCCCGTTTCGTGGAGAACGAAGAAACAAGCCACTGTTTCTCGTTCGTCCTCCGAGGCTGAATATCGGGCTCTTGCCGCAACCGTCTGTGAGGTCCAGTGGATTATTACATTGCTTCATGATTTACAGATTGAGATGATTAGGCCTGCTGCCATCTTCTGTGATAATAAATCGGCAATCGCCATCGGAGAGAATCACGTATTCCACGAACGAACAAAGCATATCGAAATCGATTGTCATATCGTTCGCGAGAAAGTCAGTCAAGGATTAGTCAAGCTCCTCTCCGTCTCATCATGTGGCCAAGTTGCTGACGGGTTCACCAAAGCTCTCCCCACCTCTCTTTTTCAGCTCTTCCTCTCTAAGCTGGGCACTCAGGATCTTCATGCGCCAACTTACGGGGGGGTGGGGGGGGGGGGTAACAAAGAGTAGCAATGGGGCAACAATGTAATTCCCCATCTATAATCAGTTATGAAGTGTAATCGTCCTTTTATTTGTATTTAGCTAGAATGTAAACAGAAGCGTTGATAGGTTGCTTCCTATTCAGCTCATCAATGAGACCCTCTGTTCATTCCCTCGCATAGCCTTCATCATCTATCTCCGATATAAAATAATAGTGTAATACAGTTCCTATTGTAATCAATCAATCTATACTATATGTAATAACAAAATCCTAAAATTTTAACTTTCCGCCCAATTCCTAAAAAATCTCTCTTCCTAATAAAATATATTGATTTCTACTTACTCATTCGTACAATAATTCTGCATCAAAATTCTATTCTAATATTATCAAATAATAGTGTAATACCATTCCTATGGTAATCAATCAATCTATTCTATAAATAATAACAAACTCCAAAAATTTTAACTTCTCGCCCAATTCTTAAAAAATATCTCTTCCTAATAAAATAATTTGATTTGAATTTTCACTTTGTACAATAACTCTGCGTTAATTTTTTTTTTATTTTATAAAACAATAGTCTAATACAATTCCTATTGTAATCAATCAATCTAAACTATATATAATAACCAAATCCTGAAATTTTAACTTTTCGCCCAATTCCTAAAAAATCTCTCTTCCTAATCAAATATATTGATTTCTACATTCCCATTAGTACAATAATTCTGCGTTAAATTTCTATTTTAATATTATAAAATAATACTGTAATACAATTCATATTGTAATCAATCAATCTATACTATATATATAATAACAAAATCCTGAAATTTTAACTTCCCGCCCAATTCCTAAAAAATCTCTCTTTTCCTAATAAAATATATTGATTTCTACATCCCATTCGTACAATAATTCTGCATTAAAATTCTATTTTAATATTATAAAATAATAGTGTAATACAATTCCTCTTGTAATCAATCAATCTATACTATATATAATAACAAAATCCTGAAATTTTAAATTTAATTTCCGCTCAATTCTTATAAAATCTCTCTTCCTAATAAAATATATTGATTTCTTCTTTCCCATTCGTATAATAATTCTGCGTTAAAATTCTATTCTAATATTATAAAATAATAGTGTAATACAGTTCCAATTGTAATGAATCAAGCTATACTATATATAATTAAAAAATCCTGAAATTTTAAATTCTCGCCGAATTTCTAAAAAATCTGTCTTCCTAATGCAATATATTGATTTCTACTTTCCCATTCGTACAATAATTCTTCGTTAAAATTCTATTATAATATTATAAAATAATTGTGTAATACAATTCCAATTGTAATCAATCAATATATACTATATATAATAACAAAATCCTGAAATTTTAACTTTTCGCCCAATTCCTAAAAAATATCTCTTTCTAATAAAATACATTGATTTCTACTTTCCCATTCGTACCATAACTCTGCGTTAAAATTTTGTTTTAATATTATAAAATAATCGTTTAATACAATTTATATTGTTATCAATCAATCTATACTATATATAATAACAAAATCCTGAAATTTTAACTTTCCGCCCAATTCCTATAAAATCTCTCTTCCTAATAAAATATATTGATTTCTATTTCCCATTCATACAATAATTCTGCATTAAAATTCTATTCTAATATTATAAAATAGTAGTGTCATATCATTCCTATTGTAATCAATTAATCTAATCTATATATAATAACAAACTCCTAAAATTTAAACTTCCCGACTAATTCCTAAAAAATATCTCTTCCTAATAAAATATATTGATTTCAACTTTCCCATTCGTACAATAATTGTGAGTTAAAATTCTATTCTAATATTATAAAACAATAGTGTAATACAATTACTATTGTAATCAATCAATCAATACTATATTTAATAACAAAATCCTGAAATTTTAACTTTCCACCCAATTCTTAAAAAATCTCTTTTTCTAATAAAATATATTGATTTCTGATTTCCCATTCTTACAATAATTTTGCTTTAAAATTCTATTCTAATATTATAAAATAATAGTGTAATACAATTCCTATTGTAATCAATCAATCTATACTATATATAATAAAAAAATCCTGAAATTTTAACTTCCCGCCCAATTCTAAAAAATCTCTCTTCATAATAAAATATATTGATTTCTACATTCCCTTTGGAACAATAATTCTGCGTTAAAATTCTATTCTAATATTATAAAATAATAGTGTAATACAGTTCCTATTGTAATCAATCAATCTATACTATATATTTAATAACAAAATCCTGAAATTTTAACTTCCCGTTGAAATCCTAAAAAATCTGTCTTCCTAATAAAATATATTGATTTCTACTTTCCCATAAGTACAATAATTCTTCGTTAAAATTCTATTATAATATTATAAAATAATAGTGTAATACAATTCCTATTGTAATCAATCAATCTATCTATCTATACTATATATAATAACAAAATCCTGAAATTTTAACTTTCCCCCCAATTCCTAAAAAATATCTCTTCCCAATAAAATATATTGATTTATACTTTTCCATACATACAATAACTCTGCGTTAAAATTCTATTTTAATATTATAAAATAATAGTGTAATACAATTCCTATTGTAATCAATCAATGTATACTATATATAATAACCAAATCCTGAAATCCTGAAATCCTAATAAAATATATTGATTTCTATATTCCCCTTCGTAAAATAATTCTGCGTTAAAATTCTATTTTTATATTATAAAATAATACTGTAATACAATTCCTATTGTAATTACAATTCCTATTGTAATCAATCAATCTATCTATACTATATATATATTAACAAAATCCTGAAATTTTAACTTCCCGCCCAATTCCTAAAAAATTTCTCTTCCTATTAAAATATATTGATTTCTACTTTCTCATTCGTACAATAATTCAGCGTTAAAATTCTATTCGAATATTATAAAATAATAGTGTAATACAATTCCTATTGTAATCAACCAATCTAAACTATATATAATAACAAAATTCTAAAATTTTTATTTCCCGCCCAATTCCTAAAAAATCTCTCTTCCTAATAAAATATATTGATTTCTAATTTTTAATTCGTACAATAATTCTGCGTTAAAATTCTATTCTAATATTATAAAATAATAGTGTAATACAGTTCCTATTGTAATCAATCAACCTATATCTATACTATATACAATAACAAAATCCTCAAATTTTAACTTCCCGCCGAATTCCTAAAAAATATGTCTTCATAATAAAATATATTGATTTCTACTTTTCCATTCGTACAATAATTCTTCGTTAAAATTCTATTCTAATATTATAAAATAATAGTGTACTACAATTCCTTTTGTAATCGATCAATCTATACTATACATAATAACAAAATCCTGAAATTTTAACTTTTCGCCCAATTCCTAAAAAATCTCTCTCTTCCTAATAAAATATATTGATTTCTATTTTCCTATTCGTACAATAATTCTGCATTAAAATTCTATTCTAATATTTTAAAATAATAGTGTAATTCAATTCCTCTTGTAATCATTCAATCTAAACTATATAGAATAACAAAATTCTGAAATTTTAACTTTAATTTCCGCCCAATTCTTAAAAAATCTCTCTTCCTAATAAAATATATTGATGTCTACTTTCCCATTCGTATAATAATTCTGCATTAAAATTCTATTCTAATATTATTAAATAAAAGTGTAATACAGTTCCAATTGTAATCAATCAATCTATACCATATATAATTACAAAATCCTAAAATTTTAAATTCCCGCCGAATTTCTAAAAAATCTGTTTTCCTAATAAAATACATTGATTTCTACTTTCCCATTAGTACAATAATTCTTCGTTAAAATTCTATTCTAATATTATAAATAATTGTGTAATACAATTCCAATTGTAATCAATCAATCTATACTATATATAAAAACAAAGTCCTGAAATTTTAACTCTTCGCCCAATTCCTAAAAAATATCTCTTCCTAATAAAATACATTGATTTCTACTTTCCCATTCGTACAATAACTCCGAGCTAAAATTCTGTTTTAATATTATAAAGTAATCGTTTAAAAAATTTATATTGTAATCAATCAATCTGTACTCTATACTATATATAATAACAAAATCCTGAAATATTAACTTCCCGCTCAATTCCTAAAAAATCTCTCTTCCTAATAAAATATATTGATTTCTACTTTCCCATTCATACAATAATTCTGCATTAAAATTCTATTAAAATATTAAAATAGTAGTGTAATACCATTCCTATTGTAATCAATTAATCTATTCTATATATAATAACAAACTCCTAAAATTTAAACTTTCCAACCAATTCCTAAAAAAATCTCTTCCTAATAAAATATATTGATTTCTACTTTTCCATTCGTACAATAATTCTGCGTTAAAAATCTATTTTAATATTATAAAACAATAGTGTAATACAATTACTATTGTAATCAATCAATCAATACTATATTTAATAACAAAATCCTGAAATTTTAACTTTCCGCCCAATTCTTAAAAAAATCTCTTTTTTTAATAAAATAATAGTGTAATATAATTCCTATTGTAATGAACCAATCTAAACTATATATAATAAAAAAATCCTGAAATTTTTATTTCACGCCCAATTCCTAAAAAATCTCTCTTCCTAATAAAATATATTGATTTCTAATTTTCAATTCGTACAATAATTATGCGTTAAAATTCTATTCTAATATTATAAAAAAATAGTATAATACAGTTCCTATTGTAATCAATCGATCTATATCTATACTATATAGAATAACAAAATCCTGAAATTTTAACTTCCCGCCGAATTCCTAAAAAATCTGTCTTCATAATAAAATATATTGATTTCTACTTTTCCATTCGTACAATAATTCATCATTAAAATTCTATTCTAATATTATAAAATAATAGTGTAATACAATTCCTATTATAATCAATCCATCTATACTATATATAATAACAAAATCCTAAAATGTTAACTTTTCGCCCAATTCCTAAAAAATAT